CCCCCTGTTTTCCCTTGACGCTTTCATGCTTGTTCTGAGGCTGGGAAGTTATTGCTGAAGATGAAACGAAAGAAGCGGACAACCACGGTTCACTCACGGGTCTGGATATTTCTTCTCCAAGGATGTCTGGGCACAAGCAAGGTCACGGCTCGTTAGGTACCTTCACTGTTGCAATAGACCTCCATGTTGGGGAAGACCTCATAGGTTGGCGGGTGGACTGTGTGCTTTCCATGCAGAAGTACTAAATTCAGTCAACGGCATCTGCGGGAAAAAGAGATAAGTTACTATCTGGTGGAAAGGGCCTCTCGCTATGGGAGACCCTGGAAAGCTGCTGCAGAATAGATTATACTAAACTCAGTTGATAAATAGTATAGAGCAGCTTTAATGTCCAACTTGCTGATATTTGTGTGCTACTTGTAGCTGTTTTTCTAGGCTGAAATAACACTGTTAATGCTAGTTGTCGGAAAAATTTGAAAGGATGCATTTACAATATGCCAGCTACAGCCCCCCCCCTCCACTTTCCTCCGTTGCTTCAATCCAACAGAACATGATGAACTCCGGGAACTGTTCAAGGACATCAGCAGCACCAGCAGTGATGATGATGAGAGGGATCGTCATGATGATGAAGACCTGAACATCATGGACACAGAGGAAGACCTGGATAGGAGGCTGCAGGGCAAGCTGAATGAATCAGATGGACCACAGCAAGAGAATGAAGGGGCCAATCAGATAGGTTAGTTGCTTGGAGCCTGTGGGGGAAAGATTCCAGAATCCATGTTTGTGTAATGCTTTTATTCTTGCTTTTCAGATCTCTCCATCAGGGAAAAGATTATAAAAGGAGGGTGGGCTGGAATTGGGGGAAAGGTTGGGAGATCTGAGTCTTAAGACAGAATAGAAAAAGAAGAGTCTGCAGACTTTCAAGGAAAACTCTAGCAGGCTATGGGTTGGTTTCAGGATTCATGGACTGGGAATATTCCTGGGAATAAGAGAGGCAGAAAAGCTTAATCCTCCATTTTTGAAGATGTAAAATGTTTGTGTTAATTCAGAACAGGCTCTTTCCTGAGTGAAGCACACGACTTCTTTAACAATGGAAAATAGAGAGAGGCTAGATAGTGTTTATATTAACAAAACTGGAGATAAAGGCAGTTGAAACCAAATTCAGTCTAACTTGCAGCAAATGGATGTTGCAGATCCATGTTGAATTGGGATTGTATGAAGAGAAATCCTTAATTACTGGGGATGCTAAATAATTTGCTCGGTCTTCCAGCGATGGGAATCCAGAAGCAGATCGACAACCTGAAAGGAAAACTGCAGGAGACCCAGGAGCGCAGGAAGCGCCAAGAAGATCTCATCATGAAAGTAGAAAACCTGGCACTCAAGGTGACTCCAGCATCATCTTCCTCCTGCATTCTTTAGACAGGGGCCTACTGAGTTCAACGGGGAGTAGAGAAAGTAGATCGCTAAGGAGGCCTCATGTTGCCATTAAGTCAGAATAGTTCTTACGGAGAAAGATCATAACTTGGTGGTTCAGCAGAATCAGGGCCCTAGAATTAATCCCTTGCCTCTCCATCTGAAAAGGATGAGAAAGACCTTTTCCTGGGCGTAAGGAGAGATTCTGTTAGTCCGAATAGGCAACACGTATAGCTAGAAAAAAGAACACAGTTAACAAGAAATTTCTATTTCCTGGATAGCCAGGAAGTGTTAGTTAATTTAGCATTGCTGCCAATCCAGTAAATCAGGGAAAGAACATGATTCAATAGCTTCTACGTAAAGAGTGTCAAGTCAATTCTGACTTACGGCAACCCCTTTTCAAGCAGAGAATACACAGAAGTGGTTTGCCATTGCTGTCTTCTGAGAGCATGTTGGGACTGTGCAGCTTGGCCAAGGCCAGCCTCTGGCTCCACAGCTAGATCTGTAACTTACTGAGTGTTCCTGGGTAGCTGAATGGTCTAGGTCTCTGCAGAGCCAGAGGTTGAGATTTCAGTTCCCCACTTGTGCCTCCAGGGAGAAGAGCCAGCCTGGGTGGCCTTGGGCCAGCTGCATAGTCCCAAGGTTGTCCCTAGAAGAGGGGAAGGGGAAACCACTTCTGACTATTCTCTACCTGGAAGACCCTCAAAAGGGTTGCCATAAGTCAGAATTGACTTGACAGCATACTGTGAGGTATGTCCTTTGATGGAATATTTTGATGGTAACTCTCTTTCTTTGTTAATGTCATTTTTCAGACTCGACTCCAGGCTGTCCTGGATGAGTTCAAACAGCAGGAGGAGCGAGAGAAACAACAGGTAAAGTGTCTGTCTTTCTATAAAGCCAACACATGAGAGATCTTTAAAAAAAGGTATGGGGAAGAAGTGGGAATACGGAAGCCTCCTGCCTTTTGCGCTTGGAGTGATGGTGGGTGGAAATGAAGAGAGATGCATATAATTTGCTTCATTCCTGTCCAATGCACTGGAATGTCTCTGGCAAAATAATAATAATAATAATCTGCGTCCTTAGCTGTTGAGAAGAAGAAGAAGAAGAAGAAGATGATGATGATGATGATGATGATGATGATGATGATGATGATGATGATTTTGGTGGGACAAAGTTCCCCCAAAAGGGAACAGACTTTGTTCCTCCTCCTCCACCTGCTCCAGGCTGGCTCTCCAGAGCTGGGGATTTGGCAGTAGAAGAACAGGCCTCTTCTCTCTTGTGCCCCTTGGATTGAGACGGGAGGGGAAGGAGGAGCAGAAAGGGGGGAAATGTGCTCTATGGCGACAGCAGGGACAAGGACCAACACTTCTCAAAGGAGGAGAGGAGAGGAGAGGAGAGGGAAGCAGAACTTAGATAGTCTGTGCCTTCTAGGAGAGACTGAAACCGAAACACTGCGGGATGTACTTTTCTAGGCCACCGCTTACAGAGTTGCTTGGTTCCCAGAATCCTTCAGAGCCAGGCCCTGATGCAAGAAATAGCTCGGACAGGAGCCTTGTGAGGTGGAGCAGCCTCATTCTTTTGCACCTCTCCTCGCCTTCTGTTTGTCTTCAGGCAGGAGGGTGGCAGTGGTGACTCAGTAACTCAATGTCTAGAGTTATTGAGAAGTTAGGGCATATGAGGGGGAAAGCACTAACTAATAGTGCTTCCTTGGACGGTACAAGCCATGGGTTTAAGGGTCTGGGGATACTGACTTGGAAGGATAAGAGTGAGGACCTTAAATTATAAAGAAGTAAAAGGAGCATTGTTTGGTCTTCCCCACCTTTCTTCTTGTTCTGTGCAGTTGGCCTCCCTCCAAGAACAGCTGGAAACCCTTATGGAGAAGTGACCGTCTGCCTCTGATGAACCTGCAGGCAGCACAGCTGTCATGTCAACTGGGAGTCTTCTGGAACATTCCTTTTGTGCCCTGGACCTTTAATTCATTGATAACACTCGTTGGGTGCTGAGATTTGCAAACAGGTCTCTTACCAGGCATTTCATCTTGTCTAAAAGACTTGTGTCTTGCAAGTAACAGACCCAATGTGCACACGTACGAAAAAAACAAAGGTTCCCCAGAGCACATCCACAACATCTGTTTTCCTTTTCGAGGGCAAACGTGTCTCTGTGACAGTCTTGGTCCCTTCATCTTATTGCTTCATTACAAGCCTGTATGCAACACTGTTGGGTTCCTCCCTCCCCCCACCCACCCAGTTGGGTGGGTTCTGCTGTGAAATTTGCCTAGAAAAGTTCCACCGTGTCCAAAGGCCACATCTTCCTGTCATCTGTCTGCCAAAGGGTTGACATGCAAATCTTTGGCGCACCAGATGTTTTGAACGAACACCCACAGTCCTTTATCATTAGCCATGCTGGGCACGGCAGATGGGAACTGTAGGCCAAAATAGTTTGAAATACTTAACACCTGAACTTTTGTTTGTGTAAAGGAAGAGGAGTCAGTTCCCTGTCCTAAGTTGTTTTTACATATTGACATACTTTAGTTCTGTTGTTGGCTTGTCTGAGAGGTTCCTTTTAAAGAAATAAAGCATATAATTACTTGATGTGTCTTTTTCTGTATATCAGTAGGATCTTTGTTCTTAGTATCATTCACTTTTCCCTTTGCTGAAGGTTGTTGGATATATTTCAGAGCAGGCAGGCTTTCTTCTTTCAGAGTGATGGGCTCTCTGATTCTTAGGGTTTGGGCTATAATTTCAAGACACCAGTTGTCTGAGTTATAAGCCATGCATCTGAAAGAGGAAAAAGAGAATACAGTATAGCTGCGAAAGGATAGATGAATTTCCTACTTCACTCCAGGAATCTCAGTCCCTTAAGTATTGCACCCTTCTTCTACTTGTGTGCCTCTCTTTCCAGGATTCTCTATGAACAGCAGTATTTTTGAGTTTGCAGAGGACTTTGATGTAGTGGGAGCAGAATAAACTGATACCACTTTCATTGCTACTAAAGGGACATTAGTGTTTTGTTTGTGTTAATATATGTATCATTTACTCAAAAATCTATTCTCATTACTGGTGCTGAGAATGAACTGTGCCTCCCTTTTAAAGCCAACAAAAATTATAATTTCCGAAAGGTGTTTAGATAAAGCATATTGGGAGAAAATAGCTTTAGGACAATTAAACTAAACGGTACCCATCTCAGCATTGAAGAACTTGACTTTCTTCTGCTGTGGAATTTGATCTTTGAATTTGCAGTAAACTATTGTCTTTTGAGTTCAGATACACTCTTTGGGGGACTCATATACGTATGCCTTACAGGGGAAATACACTGCAGAAACTGTTCATCCTTGGCATCTGGAGCATGACGAGAAACAAATTAGGCCACATTTCCTTTCATGTTAAGGCAAATTGTAGTATGCCATTCAAGCAAAGCATGCATCAAAGCCATGAAGTGGGTTAGAAATCCAACAGAAGAGTGTGCAGAATTAAAATAATGTTTCTCCTCTGGGGTAGAGATGAAAATCCTAGAGTGAGAATTAGAAACAAATTTTTCTCCCCTTTTAGAAGGGCAAGGTATTTTCTGTTGGTCTTGACTGTTCCCTGTTTGCAAGAACAATTTTTTTCAAATAATGCAAATTACACAAAACTACAATAGCATTTCCCTTGTCAGCCCTACTTATAGCCTAAAGCAGAATTTGGAAATGTTAATGCCTTATTGTTTAAAAAAAAACCACGGTTACATTAAGACATTAAGAAAATTAATAAAGTCTGTTTGGTAAATTGTTAAACCTCAAACAAAATAGTTTAAAATGACTAAAAATACCCATTGCTACCAAAAACTATAGCCACAAGTAATGAATGAGAGTAATGGGAAGAACAGCAATTTCTATATAACAATTTAAACAACAATTTTAAGTAATTGTTGAATGCTTTAATGAACCTGGATTAACAGATAATTTTTAAGGAATTTTTTTTGTCTGAAGTGGTACAGTCTAGATCAAAATGTATGACCTCAGTTGGAAGTCTTAAGAAACCACTCTCACAATCTAGAAGGATGGGGCCGGGGGGAAGGGCAGCATCTGTTTACCAAATAGACTAATCTAATTTCAAATATAAGGAGAAGGCAAATCCTGGATTAACCTGGCAGAACAGGGAGAGGGTTAGGCAAGGAAGGCGAAGTGAGAATTGTGTATCATTTCCTCAACATATCAGAACCGATCCGGGTGCAAGAGAGATCTAGCCTCTGAAAGGGGCTTGTAGGGAAGAACGGAAGCCACAAGAGTTGTGGGGAAAAGAGATCTGCTAGCAAGTTGGCCATGGAAGAAACGTACCTACTTAACGTGGAAGGAGTCAAGAAAAAGATTTTACATGGAGGCTGTGGAGAACTGCCAGATTTCAAAGATGGGAGCAAGGTATGTGACTGCAGCCAACGAAATTGCCCATAGAGGTTGAACGTAAACCGGCTATGATCGGTGAAGACTGCAAGGAGTTACGGGTTGTGGGGAAATCAAAAGCTTAAAGGGTCACATCTGCACTTTGCTTATGTGATCCTTGGGTACCTTGGATCGGTTGATTTAGAAACAGGACGGTCCTTGCTTTGATCAAGCAGGGCTTTCATGAAAGTAGGCAGAGGGACAGTAACAATAATGGAGGCTCCGGTCATGCAGATCAATCTGCGATGTTACTTTTTAAATCCCCTTTCCTGTGTTCTGGTTCTCCTTATCAGATGCTTCTTAGTTTTCACCCACAGCCCAAAAGGAAGCTTATGTTTCAGAAGCAGGCAATATGTTGATGAGCGGGGTGTGTGTGTGTGTGTGGCAGTCACAGACCTTTTCAGCGAACCCTTTGAAGTTTGGGGTGGGAAATTCCAACCTTGCTGCAAGGGATGGCACTTAAAACTGACATTTGCAGCCTAAATCTGAATTCACCTCATACGAGCAGACATGGCACCGACATCTGCTATGACACTTATCTACAATTTTTCTGCACCCTCCATGAAAGGATGGTGTCTAGCCTGATGAAGTGAGATTTTCTCCACGAAAGCTTGCAAGTGATCCAATAAAGGTATTACATCTGTGAAAAGAATAATTCAGAGTGGAAATTCCACCAAGGGGGATGAAGCTGTACCAGTGCGGGGGGGGGCAACAACTGAATCCTGGGGGAAGCAGACAAAGATTCTGAGCTCCTTGTGGTGTAGATTTGGGCGGCCTGGAGCTTAGTTAGCCTTAACCTTAATCTGCCTTTGATGTAGGTCACGTTCCACTTCCAGACGCTGAAGGATAATTTTGAGCGAACCATGATCGATGACAGCCGGGTGGGTGGCATTCCCATGGAGATTATTGTGGGGAAGATGTTCAAGATCGAAGTGTGGGAGACCCTGCTGACTTCCATGAGGATTGGCGAGGTGGCAGAGTTTTGGTGTGATGCTGTTGTAAGTGTATAATTGGCACAGACTTGCCTTGAAGACACAAATCTGGCTTTGATACTGAAGGATAAAGCTGTTGAGGGTGCCCGGTCATGATGGATCGATGCTCTCTCCAGGGTCGGAGGGAGTAGGTCTCAGAACAGCAGGAGTGGGAGTGGTTGCCCTTGTGTCCAGTGCAGAAAGGATTGGTCTGGTCCAGCGCAGCTGTTCCTAAATTTCCTATTTTGTATCAGACGGTTGGTCTAACGCAGACCTTAGAAAAGGGACTTTTTGGACCCTAGTGCCCAGAATCCTGAAAAGCTCTGGAGAAAGGAATGCATGGCTGTTCAGACGTTTTCAAAGTGCTGCTCCCATTGAGCTCTGCTAGGGGCTATGGGGTCACATCTGAGAGGTCACACATTCCCAAACCCTGGTCTATCTAGAATAGCACTGCCTACTTAACTTGAAGCCTCTCTCATCACTTGATGTTTCACATCTTTTGCAACTGCAAAGGCTCCCCCATTTCTTGCTTTGCCATCCAGCCCGAAGAACCAGAGACTGGCTGTTTGGTTCCCCGTTGCGCCTCCTGCCGTAGAGGAAGAGCCAGCCTCTGTAGCCATGGGCGAGCTGCACAGTCCCCCATAAACCCCAGAAGAAGGAAATGTGAAGCCACTTTGGAGTATTCCCTCACCCTGGGCGAGGGTGGCCATAAGTCAGAATTATCATGCAATTATTATTATTAATTGAATGAGAGAATATAATTGCTCAAAGATAATTAGTTAATTACATGGCTGAGTGCAGATATAAACTCAGGTCTCCCTTTGACCCTTGTTTTGAGAAAATAGGTGTTTTCACCTGTGACAAGAATTGAGGTAATGTAACTCTAGGAGAGAAGACTCCCTGGAAAAGACCCTGGCTCTAGCAGAGAAGAGAAGACTCCTTGGAAAAGATCCTGATGTTGGGAAAGTGTGAAGGCAAGAGGAGAAGGGGACGACAGAGGACGAGATGGCTGGACAGTCTCATCGGAGTGACCAACATGAATTTGACCAAACTCCGGGAGGCAGTGGAAGACAGGAGGGCCTGGCATGCTCTGGTCCGTGGGGTCATGAAGAGTCGACGCGACTAACGACTAAACAACAAAGCTCAGCAGATAAGAGTTATTCTCTATGCTGCTGGCTGCCCGATATTTATTGCCTTTTTCTCTTTAGCTACTCCGACAGCCTGTGGTGTCTATGGCAACGTAGGCACAGTCTTTCTGTGTTCTTGTGTCCCAGTCTTCTCTCCCTTGCATGTTTCAGCACACAGGAATGTACGCCTTAGTTTCCAAGGGCATGAGGAAAATTGCTGAGGGCAAGGACCCTTTGGAGGGCCAGAAGCACCGCTGCGGGATGGGCAACATGTTCGACTACCACAGCACAGGTTACGCAGACCTGGATGAACTGCAAAGGACGCCACAGCCTCTCATTTTTATCATGGAGCTGTTTAAAGTGAGTCAGAGAATGAATAGCACACGTGTGCACACCTTATTATGTACTGACCGAAGTATAGGAAGCTGCTTTACAGGGATGGGATTCTCAGATTGTTTAGACTGCAAACCCCATAATTCTCCACCCAGGCATTTATATCTCAAAGAGACACCTTACAGACACTTAAATGTGGATCACCGGCGGAGGGGTGGGGGAAAAGTCTAAACTGAGAAGCTTGGAGGCCTGGTGAGCCTAGCATCACCCCAGCTTCCTGTTCCTGGCTTGGTGCTAGCTGGGAGTTTTCTTTCTGAACAGGAAGTGAGGCAGAGCTAGGCCTAGCTAAGCCTCAAAGCCTTCCTGTTTAGGCCTTTCTCCCAGGCGAGCCACATGCAAGGGGCTGTCTGTCAGTTAGATCTCACAGAATGGGAAATGTGGGATTTGTAGTAAAAAAAAACACCTCCATAAATCCCATTCCTACTGTCTTAAACTAAATCAGGGCATTTGCTCAATATTGTTAATTAGCCCACCAAACCTTTGATCACACTATTGTTGTCACGGAAACCATGGAAACCAGCTTGGTGCTCTTCCTGTGAGCTATGCCTCCCTCCCATGCAAGTCAGAACCAAGCTTGACTCTGTCTGGCTTCTAAAAGTGATGTATTCAGGGTGGTCTGGTGTTCTAATGTACTTGTTACCTTTATTCCACCTTTCCTCCAGTGAGCTCAAGGTGGCATCCATGACTGCCTGTTGTATGCAATTCTTGACAAACCAGGGAAATGAGCCAGGCTGTGAGGGAATGACTGTCGCAGTGTAATGCAGGGAGCTTTGTGGCTTGATGGAGACGCGAATCTTGATCTCCTACATCCCAATCCAGCTCTCTAACTGTTGGACCACACTGGTGTGTGCAGACATTTTGCCCACCAGCGGTGGTTGTGCTGGTTGTCGTTGGTAGTATTAGTAACCAGTGTTAACCATCGTTCATGCACAAGGGATTCCAGAATGGCGTACATAATAACGACATACAAAACTTTTTCGACCAGCAAACTGAACGATTTTAAACCCACCACCTCAATGTTTAAATGAAAATGTTAGCCTAAAAAGACACGACAAGAAAGGAAAAGTGAAGGGGAGGAAAGGGATGCAGTCTTTCAGACAATTTGTTGGAATGACTCCGTTTCTTTTCCTGTCTTCAGCACCGGCAAAGGTAGTCCTCTAGATATTAAGAATCGCAGTATCCACAAGGTGGTTGATAGGGAATAGCAGGCTGAAGCAACTGAAGTCCAAACATTCCCCATCCGTGGGTTACAAGCAATGGCTGCTATTAGAGGTGACAGCCAAGGAAGGACCATGATGGAGGATAGTTCTTCAGCATCCCTGGTGAACTAGCCCTATCTCACTTCATTACTTCAGCTGGAGCATGTGGCAGTAGGGTCAGTTTAATTTGTTTTTGTAGCTCAGTGGTTTCGGTATCTGGCTACAGAGCCAACGGGTGGGAGTTCGATTTCTCACTGTGCCTCCTGCAAAAGTAGAGCCAGCCTGTGTGGCTTTGGGCCAGCTGCACAGTCCCAGAGGAATGGAACAGGAAACCACTTCTGAGTATACTCTACTTGGAAAACCCTCCAAAGGGTCGCCATGAGTCAGAATTTACTTAACAGCATATATTATTAT